GAGGCTTTTGCACCTGCGGCGCCCGGACCCGCGCCTGCGCAGGCGGACACCTCCCACGCGACACCCGGATCCCGCCAGTGGTTCGCAGTTGCGCGGGGCGGCCGGGCGAGCGCGCGGCAGTGCTCAGGGGCCCGAGGGTGGGGTTGAGAACCAAGGCCTTCCTCCCCTGGGTGTCTCCGCCAGCCGTGCGTGGACGACCCCGTTCGCTGTGTCTTCGCACGCGTGGGCCCTGCCTCACCCGGAGTACCCACAGGCCCCGGCCCCTGCCCCTGCCCTCAGCTCAGATGGGGACCTCATGAGGGTCCGGGCCAGCAATAGCCACTGCCTGCATGACCCCCTCCCCACGCTGACGTTGCTGCCCTGCCTGTTCGCAGATGGCGCCCCCTCCCATCAGCTCCCCAGTGGGAAGCCTGAGGGGCCAGCATCCCTCCCTCTGGGCCCTGGCCTCTTGCTCCCGTGGGGGGGCGGGGGCTTTCGTGACCAGCTCAGAGGCCTCCTGGACTCCTTCCTGGTAGGAAAGACCCGCCCCTACCGCACTCCCAGGGAAAGGAATGAGTTCCACCCGCCAGCCCCGCCCGGAAGGCTGGCTACGAAGGGGTGACCCGGCACGCACAGCTTTGTTTTGTCCAGGTGGCGCTGGGGACGTGTAGGGGACGTGTCCATGAAGGTCGCCCTGACCCCATTTCCTGCCAGCACTCCGGGGTCCTTCTTCTGTGGGCCTGACCGCAGACTGCAATGCCCACGGCCGAGCTGGCAGCTGTGGGCCAAGGGGCTTCTTGGGGGGCCCACCTGGTCCGCACCGTGCCTTCCTGGGCGGCTCTCCAGCCAGGCACCCACCCGGGCAGGATAAGAATGAGCTGCAAGGAGGGACTGGCCAGGGGTGTAGGGAAGGGTAGAGCCCCAGGGTCCCAGAGGAGCAGAAAAGCAGGGTGGGGGACACAGCCGGGGGAGAATAATGTCCCAGGAGAGGGCGTAGTGACCACAAATGCTACGAAGGAGCTGGCCGGATGTGTGCAGGGCTTGTGGAGGGAGGGACAGAGAGGGTTACACTGCCCTGGTTGGCTGAGGGGGTCCAGGTGCAGACAGCAGAGGGTGAGGGAGGGCAGTGCCAGAGTCGGGGTCCCGAGAAGGCAGAGGATGCCGGCCCTCAATCCCAGGAGGGGGCTTCATTTGTCCAGAAACTTCACAGAGCACCCGCTGCACATCCCAAGCACTGGGCTGGCGTGTCTGCCCTCCTGGAGCTGAGTTCTGGGGGGGACCGACAACAAACTGAAAAATAGCCTGGAAATGCCAGTTTGTGTCTTGGCGCCACCTGTGGTCGGAGGGAGCCAGGACTGAGTGCCCGGGAGGGGCAGGCCTGGGGCGGCAGGAAGGCGCCCCAGCAGAGGAAACAAAGGGCTCACAGGCCCTGGTCCTCTCCTGGTCTCCTCGTCCCCCCCCTTCTGGCTTCAGCCCACCCAGCTCCCCAAACCGGCCCTCAGCCAGGTGGCAGGTCATAGGTGAGGGCCGGGCCAGAGAGCCAGGCCCCAGAACCGACCTGCCTCTTGGCCCCGAGGGGACTACGACCCACGTGCCTGTGAGAAGGCGGAGATTTCTACGGAAGACCGCTCCACGGGATCCAGACTACCGCTGACTTCTCAGGAAACAGGACTGAAGGATATATCTCTCTCCGTTCGTGACAAAGTGGAGGGCGGGGGCAACACCGTGAGAAAGGAAATCCCGTGTGTCCGGGTCTGCAGAGCCACAACTGTGCTCTCTGACACAGCGTGTCTGTGAACGTGGCAGACACACGCTCCCACCAACCTTGCCCCCAACCTCTTGGAACACCTTGCAAAATAGTCGCCAGCTTCTGGCTGACGCTGAAACAGTCTCTTCCTGGAACAGGGTGCCCCCCGAGGATCTGGGGGGCCCGCTCCACGTCCATGCTCCTGGGGATAGCTTCGGGTCCACAGGCTGTCTCTCTCCCCTTCCCACCCCCCCACTGGCTCGGTCGGCTCAGGAGCCGTAGCACAACACCACGGGCTCGGGGGCTCCAACAGCACACTTGACTTTTCATGGTTCTGGAGGCTGGAGGTCCAAGACCGGGGGCCGCACGGTCAGGTCCTGGTGAAGGCTCTGTTCCTGACATGCAGACTGTGGCCTTCCCACTGTGACTCCCTACGCTGCCCAGTGTCTATAAGGGCACTTAACCCCATCCCACGTGATTCACCCTCAGAGGCCCTGCCTCCAAATACCAGCCCATGGGGGTTGGAGTTTTGACACGCGAATTCTCTCCCTGGAGAACAACCGTCTGCTGTCGAAGCCACCCAGCTTGTGGGGCTGTTACAGGAACCCCGTCAAACCAGGCACAGAAATGGGCCAGCTGCACGTTATTTGGTGACCGCCTTCTAAACCTGTTTTATTTTGAGCTCCGCTCGTGGGCCTCCTTGTTGCTGGTGCACAGTCACACAGAAACGGCTGTCCTACTGCAGCTGTCACGGTGCCTTGTGTCTGCTGCTAACGGGCTTGCGCACTGGTGCCAGACCTCGGCTGCTGTGTGAAATCCCTGCAGGAGCTCCGATCCACGGGTTTGAGATCCACGGGTTTGAGTGCCACGGGTTTGAGTGCCACGGGTACACACGCCCGCGGGAATGACACTGCTCGGCCGTGAGACGTGCCATGTTCACCTTAGAAGATAATCCTGGACAAGAATAAGTCTGCACAGAAGTAAAAACGTCCACGTCCGCCAGCGGGTAGATTTCTCCGTGTTGCCCGTTTGTGACAACCCCAGACACTAACGGCTTCCACCGTCTCCACCTTTCTGGGAGGGGTGCAGACGAACTGGCTGGTTTTCGCTCCTGCCCTTGGTGGTGAGGAAGGCCCTTCCCTCGTCCAGGACTCCTCCGCCCCCGCAGCCCTGCTCTTCAGTATCCTGATCATTGTGTTTTGAGCACCTTCTTATTGGTTCGTAGTTCTCCACATGTTTATTATTTTTGCCGGCTACAGTCTGTAGGTGGCGTCCGCGGCCGCCGGGCTCC